AGAGGTGAACAACTTGTGTTTCGCGCGCTCATATGACCTTAGCAGTTGCGAGCGCCGTAAAACCTTATACTACTACTACTACTACTATCTCTCCTCCTTCTTTCCTATCAAACATATGTCGTCCTTATCTCTCCTCTTTCTTTCCTATCAAACATCTATCGTCCTTATCTCCCGGCCTTCTTTGTTGTGTTTATTACTCTCTTGTAACACCTCTAATCTTTGGCACTTACGAGGGGCACACCACAAGTTCCTTCACCTGACCAGGAAGGAATAAAGGGAAAGCTGAAATTTGGGAGTAACCTCAATCTTTCTCTATGTAGTCGCCTCCCACAGTTATGCATTTTGCCATTGGTGTATGACCTTGAAAAGGCCTTGAGAATAAAAGACCCTCTCTTTGTCAGGAAACCAGTCCTCCACTGCTTCTTTGACCTCATCATCGCTTTCAAAATGCCTTCCTTTTAAGTCCTTTTTCTTTCAGTTTGGGGAATTTAAAAAAGTCGGACGGAGCAAAATCTGGAGAATAGGGTGGAAATGGCCTAATGTCATAGCCACTCTCTGGCGCAATTTCTGCTGCTTTTCTTGAAGTGTGTGCTGGCGCGTTGTGGTGAAGCCGCACAATACCGTGTTGGATCTTTCTTCTGCCTTTTCCTTTAGAGCCTCTCGTAATTCTTTTAGCTGGTTAGAATAATGGTCTCCGGTGATCGTAGTATGTCCGTTTTCAAGATAGTCTGTCATAATCACTCCTTCTTGGTCCCAAAAAAACTGACAGCATCACTTTTCCTCTTGATGGCTGTACCTTTGCCTTCTTTGGTGTTAGAGACGAGGGAAATTTCCCGTGCATTGATGCAGACTCAGGGTCGTAGTGCTGGACTCGTGTCTCGTCCATGGTTACACGTCTTTCAAATTAAAAATAAAATCCTTTTTCATACAGACCAAGCAATTCTTGACAACAATCCACACGTTGCACTTTTTGAGGAGGAGTCAACAAACGTGGGACCCATCTCGCAGAAACCGTGGTCATGTTCAAATGTTCATTAAAGATTCGGTCAACTGATCCGCTGCTAAGCCTAGTTTCTTTGTTCAAACGTTCGACTGTTCCCGCCTATCAGACAACACGAGTTTCTTGACTTTCAACACATTCTCTTCTGTTGTTGCTGTCACGGGGCGACCATCACGGTAGTCATCTTCAATGTCCATGAATCCACACTTGAATTGTTTACATCAACATTGTATCACAGCATAGGGTGGGCAATCAGTTCCATATGTGGCATGCATCTCCGTAAAAATGTCCTGCAGTTGCTTGCCTTGAAAGAACGAAAACGACTGCCCTGTGCTCAATTTTCTCCATTTTTATGTTGAAACTGTAGAACAACATAGCCCTATTCACTTACAGTGCGCTGGTGGTAAAACTAGTGATCGCAAATTCCCCAACATGTGCATGCATTGTAGGAAAATGATTGTTGGCTTTCACCCCAAATTTCAGCCTTCTACCTTTATCCCTCCATGGTCATGCGGATTCCACGCGCTCAAACACCATCAAACTACAAGATCATTCACTGTCTATAGCCGGGCACCAATTTCCGCCTGGGTGAAGTGAGGAAAATTTGTGCAAAGTGCTCTTCCCAAGGACACAACGTCGGACCCCTGACGGGACTCGAACCCACAACCTTACGGTTGCGAGTCCGAGAGCCTAACCACTAGGCCACCGATGCCACATAATACGTGTAATAAGCTAATTCTAATTTGCGGGCGCGCGCTGTGTATTTTGGCGTGTGAGCAAAGCGAAGACAAAGGAAGAAATAACTCGTCACTTACTTAGGAAGAGCTGTTGAGTCAGGGGTTACAGGAAGGCTTCCGTCAACTCATGACTCTGTCCAAGCCCAGCTCAACAAGACAGTTCACAGTTCACAGTTCACACAAGACATTAACCTCGCCTGAGTGACCTTCACCTTTGTGCAAAATTTTCCTTCAGCTTGTCTGATATACAAAGATAGGACTGCCTACATCTGTGGTATCGGGGTCTGTGGCTGAATGATGTCAGCTATTTCCCCCCACAAAGTACCGTTCCCTGGTTTTGTCAAAGGTGCGACCTTTCAAGTGATTTATAAATAGCTGTAGCGAGTGCTCGTGAGGATTACGTGGAGCAAGGAAATCCCGGGAAGACCTGGCTGTTTGACCCCTACACCCCCACACTCCCACACCCCCACACCCCCACACACCCACACACAGACGGTCTTCTAGAAGAGAAAATCAAAGAAAAAAAACCAAACTTCCTCGTTCAGTTCATGGAGAGCGCTCAGCTGGGCTATGGGGAATTCCCAATATGAATCCTGGTTATTAAAAATAGAAATGATTTCCCAGAATGATTAAACTGTTGAGGTTTTGCATTTCCCTGGTTGTTTGAAGAAAGACGACGGACTTGGAATATTGTACGTGAATGGTGGATCATGGAGGAGCCTAATGGTTACCCCTTGGCTCTTCTTCTCAACGTAAGCCTGAGCCTGGTGAAGTTTGACAAGTTGTAAAAGTTGTTGACTGATTCGTGAATGTTTTGTCTCCCTGTGTTCTTGTATATGGACTTGTGATTCTGCTCAGTGAAGGGAACACTCTTTCTTTATTGTCAAGTGCCAAATTCTTGTTGGATCCTGTTGGAGGAAGTTATTTGTTTTAACAGTGAGGCTTAAATGGTCGCTAAATGGGGCTGCCTTTTGAAAATATGATAAAAACAATCAATGGTGATAAGAATGGAGAGTGAGGTTTTAGAGGAAAGGTTACTACAATTTGTTAAAAAACAAACGAAAACAAAAACCGAAACAAAGTGCAATGATTTGATGAAGTTGAAGTTACCATGGCAGCATATGTTTACCCTCTGTTTACCCTATGTTTACCCTATGTTTACCCTATGTTTACCCTATGTTTACCCTATGTTTACCCTATGTTTACCCTATGTTTACCTGTCTCTTTCTGATAGCTCTTTCAGTTGACTTTGGAGAAGTGCTTTGTGTGCTCCTGTCTCTGAGAGTATTTTAGAAATGACCCAAGGTATGAGTTTTTGTACATTGAGGCAGAGACCAATCCTGGTTTGAGTCGCGTACTGGCGTATGGGACATTTTGTACATTGAGGCAGAGACCAATCCTGGTTTGAGTCGCGTACTGGCGTATGGGACATTTTGTACATTGAGGCTGAGAGGCTATAGCTCGTGTTTAGTGCTATACACCCCGCTCCTCATCCCCCCCC